CTGATTTTGCAACAAGTGGAAGGTAGATTTGACTGAAAAACTCAGTATAGGAGCCAGCCCAGTACATCCCATCTTTCTGCTGTCCAAAAGATGGCAAAGGTAAAGCCAAGATCTGTTCAACCACTGACTCTGGGAGAACTTGTTGCAAAACCCAAAAAATCCCTAGTCTTATCTGGCATAATCACATGAGAAACAAGAACATCAATTTAGTCTTGGAGCATTGGAAGCAAAGCAACATCCCACAAAGGCCTATCGTTGACCCAAGCATCTTGCTAGAACTTGATCTTCTCTCCTGTACCAACTCTTCATCGCATGCCTAACCGTAAGACATCTCTACACCATAAAATACTCTTCCATGTAGTAGAAGAGGTTGAGATAATATTACAATTCATGAAGGTTTCATGCTGTAAATATTTTTGAGTAAAAGCCTTGGACCATGGCTTCTCTAGATTAGATAGCAATTGCCAACAAAGCTTTGCTATTAAAGCTCGATTGTTATCCTTAGCCGAACGTATCTCAAGACCCCCTTGATCTCTTGGTTAGCAAACAGGTGCCAATTAATGAGGCGAAGTTTATTTGCCGCATCAGATCCCCAAAGAAAATTCTTATTCAAATGATCAATAGCTACACAAACATTATCTGGAAGAAGGATTGACTACATTGTGTATGTTGGTATTGTAGAAGTAAATGATTAAACCAAAACTCTTCTCCTTGCCATGTTGAACAGCTTCTGTTTCTAGCCGGACAGCTTCACTTGAATTTTCTCAAGCAAGTAGTTATAAATAGCTTTTGTTTGCCTTCCATGTAAGATGTGAACTCCTAAATCACTTATTAAAGGAATTCCACAAGCATTACTAAGAGACACCGCTACATACCTTTTTACATTTTGTGAGGCATAAAGCTTAGATTTAGTTATATTAATGTCTAACCCAGATTCCATTAAGAATTCTCTTAAGCAATCCATGACCACTTCCACTTGGTTTTGAGTTGCTGCACAACAGAGCATGAGATCATCAGCAAAAAATAGATGTGAAAGTTCTAACCTTCCTCTTGATATTTTGAATTGCTATCATATCTGGGATTGCACCCAGCTTTGAATTTTGTGGGAGAGCTTCTCCATATCCATAATAAAAAGATAGGGAGAAAGAGGGTCGCCTTGGTGTAAGCTTTGTTGTGGATGACAGGGAGGTAACTCTTCCCCATTCCAGAGAACACTAAGTTGGTGAAATTAATAATCTTATATAAATAAAGGTATTCTAATGAAATTTATTATAAGTATATTATGAATTTTTATAATGTCTATAATACCCTTTTTTAGATTTAATAGTTAAAATATTAAATTTTTGTTAATATTAGTTAAACAAAGTACCATAAAATTAAAAAATAACAATCAAAACTCTCTTTATACAATTTTCTCAATATTTTTTCATAATTAAAAGTAAATATATTTTATTCAATCACTCAATATTTAAACTAATTTTTTTTATTAATTCAGTTAAAATTTTAATTACTTGAAATAGTTTAGTTTGCTTAATGATAAAAGAACCATTTTTTTCTTAAAAATATAAAAAGAAGTTTGTTAATTGAATGAACCATATTAAAAAAATCAAATTTTTGGTAATTAAAACTGAAATTTTTAATTAGATTCAATTATTAAAATAAAAATCATTAATTAAAGTAATAAAAAACCAGAGAAAAGAGTTTTACTTGTTCTCTTTTTTAAAATTTTAATATTTATTTAATTAAAAATAATGACTACTTAATATTTTTAATTGTTTGTCATAAAAAAGTATTATAGACCTTTTAAAAAATTTTAATACACTTATGAAAAATTTAGTTAAAACATTTTTACTTATGTAAAAATTAAAATTTCACTTTCACTTAATTTAAAAGAAAAGTTTAATGAACCCATTACAAAGGAATTTTTCCTTTATCTTTTAGTTGAACAAAGAATAATCCACATAAAACTTGATTCTTCATTTGTTTTATTAGGTTAGTAAATTAATTGTATATTCAATTTTATTTAGTTTTTTAATGTAGGGATTATTCTTTAGTTCTTCATATTAAAACTTATATTCTATACTAATTTTTTTTATCAAAATTTTAATTTTATAATGGTTTTTTAATTAAAAAAATTGTAACTAAATGATTAAAAGTTAGTTTTGAGATTGCATTTGATAATTAATAAGAGTACTTTTAAAAAAAGTTATACACAATCACATTTAAAAGAAAGAATATTAAGAAAATTCAAGAATCATTTTTTATCTCATATCCTTGCATCGTAAGTTTTGTTTGCATTTTTTTTTTTTATTATGTTTCATTTCTGTTTACCTTCATTATTATGTTTAAAATTAACGTTGGAGTAATATAACAATTATCATTTCCAATGTTATCTCTTAATTATCTATTATTATCATTTAGGTTTTTCACCTCATTTTTTTTTTTAATTTGAGAATCCCTTATATTTTATATTATATTAAATACACACCCTAATTAATGCAAAAAGTAATATTTTATATAATTCTATATTATTATATTATTTCTTAATTTTCATTAAAGAATTTTTGTATATTTGGACCTTTGGTCTTCCATTTTTTTTTTTTACCACTTCCATCTTTATTTGACAAACAAGAATCCGCATTAAACTTGACTCTTCACTTGTTTTGTTAAGTTAGAAAATTAATTGTTTGACTTTTTTTTATCATTATTTTTAAAATTAATATTGTAATAATATAATAATTGTTATTTACAATATTACAAGCAAAGTATGAGTTATAAAATAAAAAAATTAAATCCATTAAAATATCCTAATTTATAGATAAGGTAGCATATTTTTTTTAATATATAGATATAATAAATATAAATTTATTCTCTAAATATTTTGAAAATTTTGTATTAGTTATTATAATCTTTTACAAAAATATTAAAAAAAACTATAAATTAAAAATTTTAATACATATCTAAAAACAAATTATGGATTGCTTTTAAAAACAACCAAAAAACTTTAGCTAGTGCTTCCCATTTGTGTTTGAGTTATACATGGACTATGCCTTCCAAGTTCCAAATTTATACAGAAAGTGAAATAGCATATTAATGAATAGTTGTTGAATATGATAATCTAGAATGTATATTGAAACTTAATTGAGTTTTAAATAAAATTTAGTAATAGTATTTACTAATTTAGTAATTAGAAGATGAAAAAACGTTATGCCTTATCTAGTGAACTTTACATGAGGGAGAAAACAAAAAGGGGTGTCTCTTTCTCCTTTTTTTTTTTTTCCTCGTGCAATATACAGTAATAAAAAATAAGAATGAAAATGCAGTTACTCCCATTTAACAGAGGGATGGAAAAGATAGTTTTATACATAGATATTCATTAATTACAACGCTATAACAATTTTGAACAACTTATATTAATATAAAATGCATCCTTGCTTTTTTTTTTTTTTCCCAAACAATTGTTAAATGTATATCCTAATTAATACATATGGAAGCATTTTATATTATATATAGATAAAGAGATAGATAACTAGTCTACTTTTGCCAACAACCTAAATGTGGCTTAGTTGTAATACACTTCCATTGGAAGTAAAATTGATTCAAATTGTAGACATGCAAGTGATGTGAGTAAGGTGATAGAAGAATGGGTAAGGTGATAGAAGAATGGGTAAAGTGATAGAAGAAGGTTATCTTTTATTGTACAATCCAAAATTAATCATAATAATAACTTCTAAAATTGCCTTGGGGTTAACCTCTTATCATTGGTGTTAGGGTTTCCCTTCATAGACGGGAGAGCACCTCACCTAGGCCTTTCCTCCCTATTTTCGAAGAGTGCTTCCTCATTGTTTCTTCTCTACTGCTTTTCCCTTCTGTTCTACTTGATTTAATCTGTTTTTTCCTCTATTTTTTCTATTTTTCCATCTGTGGTGGTTGTGGTGCACACTACAATAAGTTAGGGCTTATGGTATATGCAGGCTGTGATGCTTGGGTTTATGGATGTCGAGATATTTGAGTTTGAAACCAAGGGTTGCTAGTGGAGGCTATGAGTTACTCTGCTAGAGGGCTGTTGAGGGCCGCTGGAGAGCTACTGTTTGCCACTAGAGAGCTATGGACTACTTGAAGAGTTTTGTACAATTGGTGGTGCAGGATTTTAAGATCATGGTCAGATTGTGGTATGATAGCTAGCAATCTCGGACATGGGCCACGGAAGTACTCTCACGAGATAGCAGCAAGGCTCGAGATTGTGGGGAAGTCGGAGGTTGGTACTAGGTGGCGAAATTTGAAAGTAAAGGTGTGGTTTGCAATGATGATGGAGACTGTAGTTGTTATTGGTCTAACTCAATTAATTGTGTATGATTTAAAAGGTAGGGGCATCCATTCCCCACCGAGATGGTTGCTCTATAGATATGATGGGGCTATCAATGGGTGTAAAACATTGTTAATCTAATTACTTATTTTTCTAAAAAAATTGACTTATTAGGTGTTAATATTCAAAATGCTTATAGTGATTTTCCTTTTACATCTATAACCCCACTATGCCAATATAACTACCAAGTCAATTCCTATATACTAATGTCTCTTGATTGTCTATACTTTATAGTTTAAATCTATAATTAGTACTATAAATTATGCTTTCATTTTAAACTATAGTATCATGCTTAAAGATTTTGATATAATATTTCTTTTTATTTTCAATAATAATCTCTAATTCTTATAAAAAATAATAATAACTTATCTTTTAAGAAACGTTTTGTTTGATAAGAACCTACTCCTTTTTGTGATTATTAAAAAAATAGAGAGAACATGAGCAAAAGCCTTTATTTTTTTGCCTTCCATTCATTTCCTTACTTAAATGGAGTAAAGGAAAATGAACGAAACAACACTCCACCTCTCTTAAACCAAACATTTCCTTAGTGAATTGGAATGAACTTGCAAAACGGCCTAAAATATTACCATAATGACTTTTCCCCTATCAAATAAACAATAATTACCAGTATGGTTAAACTTTTAATCCTTTAATAACCGCTTTTAATCATGAAAATAGTTGGAAACTACCTTCAGACAATAAAAACCGGAGATGTCAGCGAAGACTGAAAGATGTTTTACTTTTAAGGCAGTAGCCCGAAGCCAATCTACTAACAGATACACGATGTTATTAAATACAGTTCTTTCCCTTCCAGGAGCTTATCAGTCAGTATGAAAGCTAGTTTTCCTTCCCTGGTAACTTGAAAAAAGAAATGCTTACTCAACCTTGCCAATGCAGCTCCTCGGGTGGAACTTGAATTGAAGATTGAAGTGGAACTGTTTCATCCAGCCTGACATTCTTGAAAGCGCAGTCGAAATTTGGTGTTCTATCATAAGCTCAAAGGGAACTGCAGATCAGAGATTCAGTTTAAGCCCAAACAAATCACAACTTGTCCTCTGCTTGGCCATCCTAATGATCCTCGGTGTACTCCGGGTTCTCTCTTAAGATGACAAAGCCCTCAAGAATGGGTGAGAGGGGAATATACCTGTAAAACTCAAAATTGTAAGAACTAGGCAATCCAAATAATTTACAACAGCCACCTCCCAATATATATGAAAAACTTACTTCTCAGTTGCCAATTCAGCTCTATCACCTGCAGCAAGCAGAACTGGGGTAGAGTGGGTCTGGAAACCGGTGATAGTCTTTGGCCGGCCAGCCTGACCAACAACATCGACAGCCTGACCTACCCGCACTGGTACTGACAAAGGCTTGAGATTCTCATCCACAGTCATCAGCATCCTTGGCTGTCACAAGAAAATAATAAAATTAGTCAATGAGAGAAAGAACATTAAGACATGAAAATCTTTCTTTTCTTCTTTCCAGAAAGTTATTGACTGATAAAAACCTGCATTGCCAGAACAAGGAAGTAGAGGACATAATGATATTTTCCCAGCATAATAGCTTTCATATCAAGACATGCGTGCAGCATGGTAATCAAACCAGCAAGTGCAATCCTGCATGGGATGAAATTTTAGGTGGTCAAAAAAATAGAACTACAAGGTCAGCTAGATAGTTTATACACCAATTATCTCTCACTGATTCTGATAAAAGTAGAATGTGGTAACTTATGTGAATGTCTATCTGAATAAAATAACTTACGGTGATAACAGGAAGCGATCAGAATGGTAAGGATTAAGAGTCAATAAGCCCTTCCCCAAATGTACTAGACCTTGAGCAATTCGTACCTGCACAGACACTTAAGAATGTTGGTTCTCCAATAACACCCACATGATCATGAGACAATAATTCAAAAAACATAAGAGCATTACACAGAACAAAAGGCTGGCATCTTTGTAGTAATAGCTTGAAAGATTCCGAAGCATGCCAGCTATGCGAGCATTGTTGGTTCCAGCACCTATCAAACCCAAGGAGACAACTGCAGCCTGTGGGATTCAGACAAATATGTCAGACTCCAAATTCTAAGCTTATGGAACAACAATTATAATCAATATAAATCTTATTCTTATCCCCTTACCATTGCAACTTCTGAATCTGTATCATGGCTAAGCCTGCTTAATGTGTCCATAACATTCACCTGTAAAGACAACCGATTAAATAGTGACAAAGACATCCTACAGGATCTTACAGTACAGCTAGTTCATTGATTAAATAGCTAAGGATGCACAATTAATCATGCCTATCAGTTCCACAGATGGATCTGGGGCTAACTGCTAGAAACCAAGTGTCGCCTCTTTCACTAAATCATAAAGATCATGAGTTTCACTATTTTTATCTGGCACCTATATCATGAAATTATAATTTGAAGTCAATCCTGTTACCGCCGCATAATGAAGGTCAAGAAAAAAGGGCAAATCCCTTTACAACTTGCCACTTCGGCTTGAGCTGGAACAAATAAGAATAAATTACCTTTGGATTAGAAATACAAAGGAGACCAAGTGCCAAAGGAACAGCTCGACGAATATTCTGCTCACCATACTGCAAGAGGTGCTCTAGTGAACGAATTGCCATCTCAAGACCCAACTCTTCTGCCATTGCTACCATGGCAATGCCAAGCACAGCTGGTCCCTGGTGGGTTTCACCCTTCTCAAGATGTTGAGCACAATGACCAAGAAGGTTTTGCACCTATGCAGAAGTGTAGGTTAGCCATTAGCTATTCTGCACATTTATTGTAAATCCAAATGATTGTTTTAATCGATTACCTTAAGAACATTTCCAGTTCCAGCATAAGCACAAGAAAGCAGTATCATGTCACAATATTTTCGTATTTTTTCATGAAATGTCTTTGAAACTTCTGCAGTTGCCTCCACACTTTCCTGTTACAGCACGAGGCAAACTTAGGATGATGGAACAATGATCTATAATCAAAGTATTTTGCTCCAAAGAAAAACTCTGCGCAAACTTGGACCAGTAAATAAAGTAGCAACCAGAAATAAACAATGTGATCTTCCAGATAAACTAGAAACGTCACTAAGTGATTCACCTGCTTCCCAAGATACAGAAGACCAAGCGCAAGAGGCAAAAACCGAGTCAGGGGTTCCCCATATTCTGACTCGTTCCGGTCCATTAAAGCAAAAATGATGGCTTGAGCAACCTCCTCATTGCAGGAGCCCACATACACCAAGCCCAAAGAGATTGCAGTAAATGCAATCACATCAAGGGGAGCTTTTGCATCATTTAGTATGGGAATCAAGCTGCAACGAACCTGCAAGCAACATTGGTGAGTTTGGTTTTATTTATATTACCAAATTAGCCATCTATGAAATATCAGGGAAACTGCAAAATATATCCCAATCAAATTGGGTGCAGAATATGTTTGGAACGTTAGTCATCTCTGAATCTTGATCAAAGTTCCAGCAGTTAAATGTGCCATAATTATGTAACCCATATTAATCACACACGAAATACTTTCCATGGCAAAAGCAAAATCTGTACCTGCTCATTCTGAGAACCTGCATATGCAATACCTAGGCCCATTATTGCACCTATTCGGATTGACGGATCTTCTTTACCAATATATTCATTTAGAAGTGCTAGTGCCTGAGAAAAGAAGGTGTCAGATGCATAGCAGTGCTATATTCTGTGAAATGGAACAAGAAGATAGGAGGGGAAAGGAATTTACAGGATCACAATCATTTTTAACACCACAGTTGACAATCCCAACTCCTAACAATGCTCCAGAAATGACATGGTTGTCATTGCTATGGAGATATTTATCCATTTGAGCAAGGCCAGAGTCAACGTCCCACAGCAATATCATACCCTGTAATAAAGAAAGATGATATGAACTTTATAATCAACAGCCAATTTCAAACAGATAACCTTGGTACAAAAAATTGGTACAAAGAATGCCTACCAAACTTGCTGCAGCACTGGTCTTTCCATGTTCCTTATTTTTAAAAAGCCAGTTTCCAGATGAACCGCCACTTGAAGCATCTGATGAGACTGTCATTAACTTATCCTGCAAGTTGAAATATTATTAACCAAATGTCATAAAGGTGAACACTTTCTGTATTTGCATGAATTTTAAAATTTCCAAATTTACCTGACCAAAGCCAGCATTAACAAATGCATTTACAAATGTAGCAGCCAAGTTCTGCCTGGCTGAATCAACACTTGCACCAGCACTAGCTCTTCCATCAAGCAAGTGAGCCTAACAGAATTACAAACGCAGGTTGTGAGATTGGTCAAACATGGTAACTGAACAAGAAGTTCATTAGGTAAGATTCACACTGCAATAAATAAATGACCACACATGTTACCAAATAATAAAGAAACAGACTACCACACACTGGTTTTTATTCTTTTACAAACATAAACACACCCCTCCACACAGAAAAAGGAAAACAAAGAGAACAGAAAAAACATAGAATCCCAATAATAGGTGAGAAAACCAGAGGCCACCTGTAAGAATACTGTTTAGACCTCAGACACAAAAGTTAAATTCACACCTTATAGATATCTTCAGGAGACTTGGGCTCCATAACCTCAATATCACGAGCAAGAGTGAGGTAACCTTCACTTAATTTAGCATTGTTTAAGATTTCCTGGCATGCCTCTCTTTCATTGTCATCTGCAACCATCTCCTCATCAAGCTCCAAAGTTACTCCCTGTACCAGAAACAATAACAATGAAGATGTAAATTCTTGTACCAAATATGAACTCACACAAGAGACAGAAGGGAAATGATTAAATAAAAAAGTGCTTCTGTTTTTGACTTTTTTCTAAAAGCTGCATTTCTAGAATACTATTTTCGCTTCTAGGAGGGCTAGCATTTGATTTTGCTGTAGCCACAAAATTTTTAGCTTCTAGAATGGAGCTTTTGTGTTGGCCACAAAAAAAAACAAGAATAGAACTTCTGCAAGTAGACTTTTGAGTTCAATGAAAATTTACCAAACTTCTAAAATTACCATTGGCCATTCTTTAACAGTTTCATGATAAAACACTTTTGGAAACATCATTTATACAAAACCTCCAGCCAATAGCCAAAAAGACTATTAACCATAGAAAATTGATACTAATCATCCACTACTTAGATGGAAATAAGCTAGCAAGGAGAAACAATATGGAATTTGGCAAATGGTGACCAATGCTTTCCTATGCAAAGACTGATCCAAATAAGCAAAAATCAATGACTTACATGTCGGGCAAGGATATAACAAAACTGCTTCTTCATTAAGGCATCTTCGCATGATTCAAAAACCTGCCTCACATGCTGCCAACATAAATTTCACTGATTAGAATACGTACCTATACTCCCATTAAGATTTGATTTTGATTATGGCATCCTTGTTCACACTACTAAAAAAAGATATTGGATTTCTCAACAACCTCTCATAGCATAAAAGGAGAAGAGCATGGTGAAAAACAAACCTGCTGGTTATCAAGAAAGAGTGCAATCTGAAGTGCATTTGCAAATTCCTCAAATTTGACATAAATAGTGTATGCAATATCCGAAACTAACATGTCATCTGGTCCAGGTAGGTACCTGCAATCATAATTCAGAGTGTCAAAATGGAAAAGAACAAGTATGCAACGCTACTTGTACTGGATAGAAACATTTAAGAAAAATGGTTGAAGAATTTGTCCAACATTTAGGGTTGAAAATCACTGCTATGAGATGTAGTACCATTTGAAAAGCACTCAACCAGCATACATTTTTACGTCCTTAAAAGAATAAATTTATATAAAAGAAATCTATTAAAAAAAATTGTTTTGAAGTTTGATAACAGTTCCCAGTTTTAGATTCTGCTTACCTTGCTGAACTAGTGAGGTACAGACAGGTTCTTTTGAAATTTGCTTTGTCCACATGCTCAACTAAAAGATCAAGATCTTCAACCTGCATTAGTTTAAGTAACATATTTAAGCTCACTTGAATAAGGGACACCGGAATGGGGGGATCCAAATATGGCATGGTGAAGAAAGAAATCGCATTGCATTATACCTCCATCAAGAGATCAACAGCTTCAGGTTCCGCATTGTGCTGTGAAAAGTGGAGTAGAAAGAGAAGTCATGAGATCACTCGGTTTTTGGATGATTCTCAGAAAAACATTAATTCCACAACACACTTGTATTCATCATAAATATAGGCAAGCAACCAATGAACTCAAATTGCACCAGACCTGCATGTGAAAAGCAGCAATCTGTTGCACAAGCTCCATTAGATCTTCAATTGGGGCCTCTTCACTCTGTAACATTAGTAAACAAGTACATAAAAATTAACTGTCTACAACATGTAGAAAAAATAAAGAAACATAGAAATACTAAAGAAATCTGAATCCCAAAACTGAATGCAATACTACTTAATACCAATCTTGTTGTCTTGTCACATCAAAGTTGGGTTCCTAAGTACACAAAATCAAAAAGAAACCATAGATTTCTAACCTGTCGCTTCATATACTCTTGTGCAATTTCTCCAGCCAAGTTCCTAGATTACATAGAAACCAATCAACAGCGTGATCAGAAAGCAGAGAAAAGGTTATGCACAAAAGAAAGAAATCATGTGGTAGTCTGCAGCCTATGACACCATGAACAGCTTCAACAAGTTCGTACAGAAAAAAAACATTAATGGCAAACACTTTAACAACAAATCACTTTAAAAATTATGATAATTAAAACCTTTGAGAAGTTTTGAGTGTTTGATCATAACTTAAACCATGAACATAAATAAAAAAAATACATAATTACCTGTATAATACACACGAAGAATACAATACTATTCAAATTATGCTCACCTCACATACTCATGGCCCCATGAACCAATGTCACCATCTGAACCCAGCAATCTGTACTTCAAACTCTCCTGAAATATTAACAAATATTATAAAAAATATAATACCATGACAGAATATAAGTGCTAAACAACACGATTAAAAATGGTAAGATGTCAGTATAAAAACTAATCTTTCAGTATACTAATCACAAAAGGAAAAACCAGTAGGCATACCCGCTCTCCCTCTGCAGACATGGTCAATGCTAGCACAGAAAGTATATCAGCCAGATATTTCTGCATATAAGAGAAAGAGACTTGAGCTAAAATTTGTTATACTCAATAAGGGAAATTGGATAAGAAAACAAGTTATACCTTCAAATCTGAATCTAGCATTGTCTCATAATACACTTTAAGAGTTCCATAATGAGGACGAAGAAACTTCAATGGTTTTGGAACTGAAGTCATGGAACTTGTTGAGGTACGAATTTCCTGCCTATAATAACATCAAATCAAAGTGTAAGACTAATGCTTTGCTCAACTGCCACCCATTTATCTAAAAAGCATACAGATTTTCCCAACAAGAGTTTCTTTTGCCAATGATACTAAATAACTCCATATTTTATGCAAGTTTAACTCCAGGAGTGAAGCCATGAAATACCAACATTTGTCCTAAGTCCTCCCTGAATTACAACACTTAGATGCTTCAAAATTAGGTTCAGAAGATTACCTCATGCTCTCAAGAGCAACCTTCTGCAACCCAGGATCAGGATCCTGAACCCTTTCCACATAAAGTTCTAATTGTTGCTTCAAAGCCAAATCCTCATCAGACTGCAATGATAAAAAAAACACATATTTAACCTCAGAACAACCAAAAGGTAATAGCTTGGAGTACCAAAACTATACCAATTCTCAAATTTCCCAACCTTGGAGTACTAAAACTGTAAAAGTAATTGTTGATTCCCCGGTAAACAATTAAATCATTCGTTCCAAAAAGGAAAACACAAAACAAAGGAAAACGATTCCCAAACTTCTCAAGCACTCATTCCCTTTCAACTCTACCCCGAGATTCTCAGACAACCGGAATTCCTCTTCTACCTCACTTTCCTCCACTTTCTCAAGAAACAAAAGGAGTGTCAAACCAACAGCAGAAATGGAACTCACCAGATCCTCTTCCTTCTTCTCGTCCTTCCTTTTAGGATCCTTGGACGGAACCTTAAGCGAGGCCTCGTCACGGGCTCCACTGCCGCTGGCGCTGTTCGGATCCGGAGCCATGGCGAATGATTTACAGAACAATAACAAACCCCCGATTCACAAAGCGAGCAGAAAAACCTTCAGCTTGGAAAGAGATTTGGGATTCGAAGGAGGCAAAAGCGATTTCCTTTGAACCAAGCAACAGCTAGTAGCTCCCTGTCGTTCCCCTTCGTCTCCGAGTACAGGCGAAGAAAAAAACTTGCCTGGGGTTCGGGGTGGAGTTTTCTTATACGGGGCGGGTGGTGGTGACCCCTCGGTCAAGACAACCGGAAAGCATTCATGGGTCAAAGCCCAGTATTAAAATACCGCTTAAGGCCCAATTCAAAGTTATTAATCTCAGGCCCAATAAACCTTTTTGGTCTAGTTTTAAGCCCTTTTTGACATTGGTCAGGTTCGTTAAGTCTGGGAATCAAAATGGTTTTCTTTTGTCTTCTTTTTTTTTTCTTTTTTTCAGAACACCGAAGAAATCAATTTTTTTTATTAAATTAGAAGTATATAAAAGTTATTTACCAACAAAAAGAAGAAGAAGTATATAAAAGATATTCCAACCCGTTAATACTCTCTGTTTTAGAATATAAGTTATTGGACATTTTTACATGTACTTTTAAGTTATATATATTTTTATAATATATAAATGATAATTAAAATTATTTTCATTAAATAAAATTATTTAACAAAAATTATATATAGAAGACAAAAGATCTCAATCATCATTTATATACAATTAAAATGTATTACTTAAAGTCACGTGCAAAAACTCAAATGATTTATGTTTTGAAATAGAGGAAGTACATATTATCAAATTTAGGACTCGTTTGGTGTGATTAGAGCTCTTAATAGAAGTTATATTGAAAAAAATCTATTGTAGAAGTACTGTTTTTAAGAAGTTAAAGATATTTGATAAAATTTTTTATAAAAATACTTACAGAGTAAAAAGTTGTTTTATATACTTTTTATAAAAGATATTCTAATCTTGAAATGACTAAAAAAAACATTTTCTTTAAAAAAGTATTGTTTCTCTTTTTTTTTTTTTTTGACATTTTTATAGAGTTTTATTTTTTTAATTTAATTATGTTAAAGTTAATTCTTTTTTAATTTAGTTATGTTAAAGTTAATGATTACAAATATAATTTTTATATTTATAAAATATAACTTTTAGTAATTAATAATTTTAATATTAATAAACAAATACTTATATTTTAATATTAAAAAATAAAACATACCATTTTAAAAATTTATAAATAAGAGAATAAAAATAAAAATTGACAATAACAATTAGTTTGATTGACTTTTCCATTAAAAAAAAGAATATTTTCTTTAAAAAAGCATTATTTTTTTTAAAAAAAAAAATTTAATTATCAAGAAATCTATATCATTTATCAAGAATTCTATAATTATTTTTATTGAAAAAAAAATCTAAATACATCATAGCATTATATATACAATCAAAGTCTTAATGCTAGTCTAGTAACCAAGGTACTCTGAAAAAACCACTACAATATGATTTGCTGGACAAATCCTCACTTTTCAGGCTGAAGTGCTCAGCCAAGCCCATTCACTACTGTAGAAGATGGATATTCGGACTGACAAAACGGTTTGATTATCATCCAAATCAATCCAAAATACATATATTCGGACCAAAATTAATTTGTATAGTTCAACCAAAAAATATGGTACGAAAAAAATATATATCCACATCGGTCAAAAATTAGTCCGTATAACTAAACTATTCAAACAAAAAACGGTTTGAATATTTTGGTTAAAAAATCTCAATCCATATTTTAAATTAAAATAAACGAGCCATAAACAGTCTGAAAACTAAGAAATTAATAAAATATTAACATAATTACGGATAAAAAATGGTCTGAATATTTAACAGAAAAAAAGGTCAGTTGTGAGGGAAAATACATTCGGACCAACTTTGATTTGAATATACATGTCCTTATCTGTAAGGATTAAAAATTGGGAGCTTATATGGCCGCCCCATTAAAGTATATTCAGATTGCTTTCTATCCAAATAAACTGGACTCAGTAGCAACTTTTAAAAATAAATTCTAGTGCCAATGTGTTTGTAGCTCTCAGAGTTATTCAGACTGTTAACGATCTGATTATATTGGACTCAAATGCAAAATTTGAAAAATCTAGTGCCTACGTTGTCGTCATATTAAGTTATATACAGACCGAAAATGGAATCCTTTGCTTGGATTATTCAAACTAATTATCGTATGAAATAAAAGCTTTTAACAAAAAAAAAAGAAAAAGAAAAAATAAATAAAATAGAATATATTTATTTTACTCACTAATTACATAATGTTACCAAAAGCAAAAATATATTTTTCAAATCAAAATATATACATCCTTATAAAGGAGTAAAATAATTTTGTACTAATTACTTAATATAATAACTAAAAACATGTAAAATATTAATTACATTAAATTTAAACTATGCAAGAAATAAAAATAAATTTCGATCTTATATAATGTGCTAAATTATAATAATTACATCAAAAGAAGTAAATACCTAATATTTTGATTTTAATTAAATTAAAATTTCAAATATACAACATACAAAAATAAATAAGAATATAATATAATATTGCTAATTTAAAAGAAAAAAAATCAACAATAATTATAATTGTAAATAAAGAATAAAATAGAAATATATATTAACTACAACTAATATAAGTAAAAAATAAATAATATATAGCACAAATTACAAAAAAATAAGGAAAAATATTTATTAAATCATTGCTTATAACCCATTGACTTTTAATTTTCCTCATTTTCCACCAAAAAGAAACAAAATAAATATAAATATAAAAACAATTGGAGAAAGTATTAAAATAAACATATATATAAGAAAAAAAAAATCCAAAGTTCACCAAAATTTCAAAATATGCAACCTACAAAAAATAAAAAAGGAGAAAAAGTTAGTAAAGAAATTATAAACATAAATAATGTAACCTACCAAATTTTAAAAAATTTATAAAATGCTTATGAAAGAAAAAGAAAGGAGAGTGGAATAAAAAAGATGGTAGAAAACGGAAAAATCAAAGGGAAAGAAACTTGATAGAAAGAAAAGATGAATAACAATAAAAGGTGGAAAGCAAGAAGAGAGGAAATGAAAGGAAAGAGAGGAAAAGAGAAAGAAAAAGGAGAGTGGAATAAAAAAGATGGTAGAACACAAAAAAATCAAAGGGAAAGAAGCTTGATAGAATGAAAAGATGAATAACAATAAAA